AGTCATAACGACGGCCATCTGTCTTCAAACCTCATGGACTGGATAAAAATGGTTTTGAGCGAATAGAACATGTAGGGCTTATCGAGAGCCATGCTTCTTCGAACGTCAGGAACTGGATACAATTGATTTTAAGCAAATAGAACATATCTGACTTAACGAGCGCCATCCTCCTTTGGATGAGTATAACATGCTGGTGTTAACGAGGGTAATCATTTTTTCAAACTCATGGGCTGGATAAAAAGGGATTTGATCGCATATAATATGTAGGCCTTTGCGAGGACCATCATCCTTCGAAACTCATGTAGGGGATGAAAATGGATTTGAGCGAATAGAACATATAGTCATTAGAGAATGCAATCATTATTTGAACGTCATGACTAGATAAAATTGGTATTAAGCGAATAGAACATATAGGTCTTATCGAGACCTTCCTCGAATTGCATGGATTTGAGCGAATAGAACATTTAAGCCTTAGAGAGTGCCATCCTTCTTAGAACGTTATGGACTAGATGAAATTGGTTTTGAGCAAATAGAACAGATAGGTCTTTGAATGGGCCATTCTTCTTCGACCCTCATGGATTCGATAAATTTTTCTTTGATCGATTAGAACATGTAGGTTTTAACGAGAGCCATCTTTCTTCAAACATCATGGACTGGACAAAATTGGCTATGATCAAATAGAACATACAGTTGTTCGAGAGGAACTTTCTTTACCACATGACAGAAACCAAATTATTTATGGAATCTCAACAGCAGCAACATCTAAAATGAATATAACATTTAGCACGAATTAAGAATGACGTGCTGAGTCTCCACACTATTTCAGCCGAAATGTTAGGCAGTACTCTTCAATTCTGGAAAGAACCAGAAGTGTTCGTGCATTTAAGAAACTCATTCTTCTGAAATAGTTTTTTAACAGAAAGATTTTAAAATTTCAACCGAAACTAGTATTTTCTGCTTGTTCAATGAATAAGGAAATGGCTGATATTAGCATTACCATTTCAACTGCACCTCTATTAGTTGGTTGTTTCAATGTGTTTAAGTATGCATTTGCGATATAGTTGATAGGCTTGATTTATGGATAAAACCAGAAGCTCATATTCCAGTAAGTCCTCTTCATATATTTTTGCACTATAAGACTTTTATCTCCTCAAATATGCAGCGTTTTTTCATGAATGCGATCTGCTTTAGATAATCAACTCAATGAACAATATAACACATAATTCTTTTTGAGAATAACAATGTTTTGCAGATACAAGTCCTAAAATTTAAACCAAAGCGTCGTATAGGGACCCATGGTATTTCCTTTTTGAAAAGGTATTTTTCAAAACTAGGCAAGGTAGGTAAAGAAAGCAAGAAGAGATAACATAATCATGCAGGTAAAGAAATTTAACTATGTGAATTGTGTAGTCAAAAATGATGGGAAATGTGACACAGAAATCAGAAGGAGCATCGGAATAACGAAATATGTATTCCAGAATTTAATCAAAGTATTAAGACATAAGAAACTTCCGATAGAAATAAAGAAAAGAATACTGAACAGCTATATCATATCTATCTTCTTATATGGCAGTGAATGCTGGGCAATTTCTTTCCAGAGGAAAAAGAAACTGGAAACGACAGAAATCACCTTCGACAGGCGGATGCCGAGAATTCTATGGGCAGAACATATAAGTAACAAAGAATCTCTAAAAACAAAATGGAAATTAGAAAGACACTTACTTTAAAATTAGAAAGAGACAGCTGAAATTTCTCGGATGTATTATAGGGAAGGACAGCTTGGCAAATTTAATACACACAAGGTGTATTGAGAGAAGAAGAAATAGAGAAAACAGATAGCAGCGTATTTAATGGTAGGGGAAGGGTGTATGACAAAGAGACATACGTTTGCATAACGCTAAGATGGACACAGTGTAGTGGAGTAATATGACCACCTACGTACTGAAGGCACACGACACACAAATAATGATTATATTAATCGTTTCATGCTGCATTAATTGGCATTATGTAAGAGATGGATTTACTTTTTATGCATAAAAGCTTTCAGGATATAAAGAGAGAAATGTTGACAAAAAAGATTTGAAAGCATGAATGCAATAATGGACACGCCCACTTTGTGTAAATGTTCTTTTCATTCTTTGGAGTTTTTCTCTTGTTTCCGGCTCGTCTTGCATTCATGATCTTCGATGGCCGATAATGACCCCATGAATGGATCACTAGTTTCTTTGATTTATATTCGTTCTAAAATGCATGAATCTAAAAGACATGGCTCGTTGGCAAAGTAAGAATAGAAAATTAGACTTAATAGAATAAAGTGATTTAATTATCTTTGACTCAAAATGGAAAATTAAAAAGAAAATAAAGAGAATTAACTGTATTTTATAAAATTATCTCTTTCTTGGAGACTGACATTTCAATCTTTGTAATAACCTCAGCTTAAAATAAAACCAATAAATGTCATTACGTTGAAGGGAATAATACGCTTTAATTCTGGGAGAAGATTTAAACTGTTATAATTTAGATGTTCTCTTTTTTTCTGTAGCTTCTGTGTGACGTCTATAGCTTACATAGAGACCTCTTCCTGAAAAGATATAGAGTTCTTTAGAAAGAAAATCACCATTGTCTCAAACCGTTTTTGACGGCAAAACATCACTAGTTCATATAAAGCATATAAGAATAGTAATGCTTCGTGCTTATTTTAAAATAAAGAGTGCTTTTACCAAAATAGAAAATTTATATAGTCCTACTAAGTTGATTCTTCAGATAAATATTTCTCGGGGAATGCAACACCGAAATATGCAACTATCCTAAAACTCTACATGACTCATATCACATCTCACCTCAGTTTACAAATTATTCAATTTCGAATTAAAAAAAAAAACAGGGATGGGTATATGCCACGTTAGGGATTTATTTTAAATCCATGTAGAAATTGGAATTTCTAAAAACTCTACAGCGAGTAGATGAGATTCAGTTTTAGAAACTATTTTTTAATACTTAAAATAATGTTGCAGCCAGAAATAATTTTAAATTCTATAGTATCATCACCATAATATTTATTATGGAATAAACTCTAAAACCCATGATATCGAAATGTTATCTCGATATTTAAGATACCACATCGTAATTTGCAGCATTAAAACAAAAGCCTGATAATATGCAGTCGCAGGCCATATTTTACTTGATTTATACTTGCAACTATCATTATATAATGATTTAATCAAATCTTATTTAAGAGTGAAACATTGATAGAATCAAGGCCGCTGTCATATAACAGAAATGGTCCCAAGCAGCACCCCATCATTCATACCAGTGAAAATAAAGCAATCCAAAGATGCCAGCTTCATTCCATTCTTCATAACAGCTGAAACACTTCTAAAACTGCAAAAAACATATCGACATCGTAACAACCCCCAAAATTCTCACAGACCTCCAGAGAAACATGTTTCATTCAGTGAAAAATCTTAGATATATGCCTGTAAAAATAACTCGGCATATCACATTAATCATCGAAATATATTCAAATGCATTTATTAAATTATTAAGTAAATATCTCCAGTAAAATTGCACGAACAATGGAAACAATCAATTTCTCCATCCATGTTTCGTTTAACTTCGAGTCCGTAAACAACATGAACATGAAACAGTGTTTCTGCCAAACATGTGAGGAGAAAATATTATCATCGGTCTATTTGTGAAGTTTCTGTTTTCTCATTGACTATTAACAATTTCGAGTTACAAAATAGCTTGCGAGCCAATAATACCGAGCAAAATCTGTGATTTCAATCGATACTGAATTGCTGTAGGATATCAATTTTAATGGATATATCCAGAGGGCGTTTATTTACTTATCCTCGTATTCATATTACAATCCAGTAAAACTCTAATACATCTAACGCCAAGCTAAAGGAAATTAGTAGTTTCCTAATGAACTAGATATTTCCTCGGATTAAACATATTGCCCCCGTACCGTAAGGTTATATCTACAACACTCAGCCGAAGGATATACGAAGTCATCACATGAGGATTGAAACTAATAGTTGAAAACCGGACATACTCATAATTCTTACTTTTCCCTTCATTAAATTAATGAAAAGGAATGAAAGTGAAGGAGAAAGATATTTCATATCTTTATTCAGTCTAAAAGAAACATTTAATCTATTCTCTATTCATTTATAAATTATAATTTAAAAATCAATTCGAACAATTAATAACAGCTGAAAATGCGCGGTGTACAAAACCTTTGCAAAATTTCAACAAAGATAATTTGTACATTTTTCTAAAAGTAACCACCACATTTTCATGCTTTCGTGAATCTTGTTTTATTTAAGAATATTTTATTAGCAGATTTAAATCGTCTATGTGTCATCTCCGCACAGAATACCAACACCAATTTTTCTCCATGTATATTTTTATAGAATACGCCAGACAGCGTAGTTTTTTTTTTAAGCTTGCTGATTTCCCACACGAACTGTGCTCGTTAGATCCCAATAACTTTGAACATCTGAAATTGACTGGCCTTGGTAGGATACCGCATACTTTATTTTGTTTGGAAACCTAATGACTTTTGATTTATCATTTAGCATTTGTTTTTTTCCCACTTGTTCCAAGTGTTTGTGTGATTTTCCGAGAATTTTAGTATGATTCTTGTCCGCTTCGATATGGCGTTAATGATCTCAACATATAATTATGAGCACCTTGTGTTGTGGTTAAAAAATATTGAAAAAATGCAAGAAATATAAAGATACGTGTTATCAGTCACACCTTCATATACCTACCAACTATTTCCGATAATGGAATACGAAATAATTGTCATAATTTGAAATTAGTCTGTTTTATTATCATTGTCTAATAAGTTCACATATTTTTGACAAGCCAAGAAAGATAAGAAAAGTCGTGAAAGATTCCAGTAATTGTTTATCTGTCTAAATGTTATTTTCTCAAGAATAATTTCAGTTCTTGGTGATATTTTGACATGAGGTGAATCGATTGACTAGTTCCTAGAAGTGATTTGATAAAGAACAGACGTTGGGAAAGATGGAAAACATTAACTGTGAAAGAAAGCAAATTAGGAATGAGAGTGATAGTAAAATAACAAAATAAGAGTGAGCGTTGAAAAGTAAAATAAGGAATGAGGTGACGAGCAAATGATTATGGGAGGAGGTAGTCACTGAGAGGAAATGGAAGATCAAAAAGAAACAGTTAGAAAAGGAGAGAGGATTGGAAAAGAAGAGGGAGAGTAAAAGTTTCAGTAACAGGAAACAGAGGGAATAAAATACAAAGAGAAACTTGGAGGTGAAAAGGCGATAACAGAGGGAAAAAGTCAAAAAAAAAAAAAGAAGGTAGTCTAATGGAGAAAGAAAGACAGTGGAAAACTAAAAACGGTTGAAAATGATCAGATATAAAATGCTGGAAGCAGATTGAAAATTTAAAATACCTTAAAGTAAAATTTATTTATTTATTTTTATGTCTTTAAAGAAAAAGTAACTGTAAATAAATGATGCACGAACGAAGAATTGATATTTATATTGAAGTACATTATTCTAAAAGCTTCTTTCTATCAGTGCATCTAATGGATTCAAGTTGTTCGAGCCTTACTTGAATAACCCAATTTATTTTGAATTAATCATAATATGGATTATTATAAATATGCTTTCATCTAAATTAATTTAGATGGTTGTTGAAGTATGCATCTTTTGAACTGATGTTGCGTTTGCATTCCAGAAGTCCTCAACGACATTAATATTACTGTTTTGGTTGGGAATTCGATCATAATTTTTTTAAATGCAATTTCCAGTTTAACTCTCATCCGTTGTTTCAAACTGAGTAAAAAGATAATACATACAAAGGTTACACATGTGCCAACTCTTCAAAGGTCTGCCCATCGTCTAAATCGGCCACTACTTTCTCTGATTTACTTGAAAGAAGCTTTCTTTTTTCAGTCAGAATAGATTTAGTTTTTGAAATTTAACAAATATTGTAATATTTGTAGCTATGCAAATGAACATTTTTCAATTCCCATCGCATTTCGATTTTCAAGAACTCAACATAAACGAAAAGCAGCGGCTTCTCTTCTTAGACTGGTATCGATTATGAACAATAATGATCCGTAGAACGATTAGACACCACCCAATTGCAACAGGAATTCACACTAAAAATGAGGATGCCTGCCTATGTAATCCGTCAAATAATTCAACATTTGCCTTTATAATCCGTGAAATAATAGCAATACTTGGCTTTACATTAGATAATATATGACGGCTTGTGGCGAAGTTAATTGAGCTGCGGTTTCCTCTTATCCATTCTAAGTAACTGATTTTGGTTACTGATAGAATTTGACTTGAAGAAGTATTATTATACTGTATGCTTTATCAGTTATTATGGTCTGTGATTGTCTCTAGGCCTGGTTACATGGCATCAATATAGAAAATAGAATTCCTTTATAAAAATTGTTACAATATTAAGACAAGAAACCTCAGCTAATATTTGAACTTAGTTCTCAACAACTGTGTTTTTGAGAAAAATAAATTTAAGTTTTCAAGACGCATCGCACTCTTCTTGAAAGCAAATTAGCCGCAATTGGAAATACAGTGATCGATATAAAAAGTGTTATAATTACAATCAGAATAATTTGTTAAAACTGGTTTTATATTGCTGGATTATTCAAGTAAAATATATTTATATTTCTTTAATTGATGAAAAATTGTCACTTTTTAATAGAATTCCATCTTTTTCCCTTTGGAACTTTTTCAAAACGTTTGAGCCATTTGGTGATATAATTTCTGGCATTTTACTTGACTAATTGTAATTAAAATATCCTTTGTATACTTCTCTGTCGACTACTGTGCCATGCTAATGGAATATTCTTCAAAATCATATATCTGCAAGTAATCTGATGCGAGTAGTTTCAAAGGTTATTTCCTGCTTTGCTGAGAGAGATTTGAAGTTCAAATTTATCTGTTCAAAAGATAACATTCTGGGATCGAGACATTTAGCATCTGGCAATGTCATGGTATGAAACCAGTTACATGGAAGGATAGAAATACTAGCATTAGATCATTTATTTTTAAAGTAGTCCTTTTTCCTACTTCAGTTACGTTTTCTTCGATTTCCCAGACTGGACATTGTCCAAGTGTAAGACTAATAGCCAGCTAGAAATCTCCCTGCAGTAACACATTTAGTCACTAGTTGTGTCGCCAGAAAATGGAATATAAACATTTTCTGGCTAAATTACTTATCGATCGACTCATAGTGTTTTACACATACACGTTATTTCCACCGTACATCCATATTAGATATAGAAATAAGTCTACGATATCTTTTTAATCTTTTCACATTTTTTATTTTTCTGTAATTAAAGTGGAAACTTCTTCATCTAATCAACGAGTGATAAGGACAAAAATAATTTATTTTCAAATTTTTATATTCTAAAAGAGATGAATACACACACACACACACACGCACGCACACACACGCACACACACACACACACACACACACATATATATATATATATATATATATATATATATATATAAAGAAAGAACAGTAAGATATATAATCCGGTGTTCTTATAGATATTTTATTTTTACAAAATAGTGCTCAATGTAAATTTACAGAGCATTAATATTATAAATTAATTGATTTAAAATATGTTTTTTGCCGCTACACAGTTCTAACCATGTTTCAAAAATAGAAGCTAAAAGCCCCGGATTTAATTTTGCAATTAAATTAAAAGTATTAGTTCCATTTCATCCTCAAGCGAATTTTGGAGTAACTTTTAAAAAATTACTGGGTTTTAAATACAGAGCTAAAATCACGTTTCCATGGTTACAGAATATTCTACTTCAATTGGACAAGGGATGTCTAGGTTTTCATTATGTCAGTATCATTGTATCAGTTATTAGCTACAATTTGGTAAGGGGTTAGGGATGTATTTTTCAATGAAAATTGACATCCGTTGAATGCATGTCGTCTGGATTTTTTAAAAAAAAATTATTGTTAACGGTAAAAAAATTCTTACGGCATTTTTTTTCCATTTATAAATTTAAAGATTTTCGGGGGTGTTCAGATCATAATACTTTTTATTTAACTACGATTTGAAATATTCTGATTCTTAATTTTTATTATACTATATTCTTTTTAAGAACAGTTAAATGTATTAGAATCCACTATATTATGTAGGATTATTTTAACATCAAGTTTTAAATATGTATATGAGGTTACATTTTTTTTTTTATGAAAAATTTTATGACTATGACGGCAAAAATGGTTACTTAATTTCACTGATTTAGTAAACTTTTATTTTATATATAAACCTAGTAATATATTGCTTCTCATGTAAGTACAAAGGACATGGGTCATTCAAAAGCTTACATCTTATGGCATTTCATATTAATTTTATTTTACTATAGGTGTTTTTACTGGATTCTTTTAAGTACATGTAGTACTAATTAAAAGAAGTTTAGGTTAGAATTCATTTTATTTATATTGTCTCAAATAATAATTATATTATAATACTGCTGTTCTGCGTTAGTAACTGATGGTGTCGGTTAATATTATATTTCAGTGAAATAATTTTATGGTGAAACTCTTTTTCGATGCTGTGTACTTTGTAATTCCAGAAGAAACGATTGGCAATTATTTTCTTCTTCAATTTATTAACAAAATGGAAATGCCAGTATCCAGTGAGACGCAGGAAATAAGAAGGATATTTTATTAATGCCTGGCTTTGCAGTGACATAGCTAATGTGAAATAATAAAAAAAACAAAAATAATTGGCTTCAGGAAAAGACCCTTTCAAACATGTCCATATTTATTGTTTTCCTGAAGATACAATCGAGTTGATTCACGTCTACCATAAATTCTCACGTATACACAAATGACAAATCACCTGATCTATTCAATATCTGTCGAAGATCTTTTTACAATTAGAATATGTATAAATTGCCACTAACAAAAGACAAATTTGTTTATATTTTGTATTAGACGGGAAGTCAGTATCTCCATCATAAGCAGACAAAGACATTAAAATCAAACAATTGTTTATAAACGGAGTTTTTTCAACAATGGCTTTAGGTGACTTTTTAAAAGTTGCTCTTCAGCTAGCACCTGATAGTTTTGGGTTTTTTTTTTCAATTCTACTGGTTTATGAATCAAAACTTCAATGTGTTCAATATAGTGAAAACCCACGGTTGTGACATTGCGTAAATACGTCAAGCGCCTTTTCCTCACTCACGTAATACTCATCATTTATCTATTTGCTAACTTCCTGTAGAGCCTTGAATATTTCGTTAGACTTATATTCATATAATCTGCCAAAAGACGATCCAGCACAGTATTTTGCATGAAGTGAATTTGTTTCTCACTGGGTGTATTCCCCTTATGTATCCTTGGTCAGACTAAGGTTCTTATTCTTCTCTCGGTACAGCATTTATTATCACAAAACAATAGCTTTATCTGCACTCACTGTGAGTAAACTGGAAACTGAGTTGGGGTTATACAAACATTTCTCTATCATAACATTTGCACCGACTCAAATTTCCAGAATTATAATTTGACTCATATTATGACTGTCTGCCACATAGTATTATGAATAAATTTCTATTATTTTTCCGAATAAGTGAGCCTTGTACTTTTCTGTCTGTTGCAATCTCTCCGACTTCTATTTGCTTAATTCAGTAAAGAATTGCTCATGAAAGAAAAATGTACAATAGACAAAGAAGCTATCAGTTAAAAAAACCGTGACAAAAATTACAACCTGACAAAAAATTACGTGAAAAAATTCTCTAATTCCAAGATTTAAGAAGCCAAAGAAATGATAAATGTAAATGAATAGTAATGATTTTTTTTTTTTAATTTCAGAGGTAAATTGTTTTATTATGTCGAATAGTAAATGGATGGAATTACGAACAAAGCTTTTGCTACAGAAAAACATTTTGCTCTGATTAGGCATTGATAATGTTGACAGGAAGTTGTTCTTAGGAAGCGTTAACTCAACCATAAATAGGAGTTCAAAAGGGAGCATTCATTTAGGTATGTATGTAAATCAACATGCCAATCCTCTTAAATTAGAATGGGAGGAGGTGGTTTCCAAACCAATGTTCATTTAGATTATTTTTATATTTAGTACGACAAACGTAACTTGTAAGAAATTCATTCCTCAGAGGAATCTGCGAAAAGTCTAATCAGGTTTAAACTGTAGAAAAAAGCACGTGTTAACAGTGGCATAATCACAAGTATTTGTATTAAACCAAGCCAATAATTTGCAGTCGTCTTGGTCTTGAATCTCTAGTCGTCTAAGGCTCTATTCAGCTTCGCACGTCCAGTCATTTGTGCGGACCGGCGCAGTAGCATGCCTCAGGCATCGGTCCGGCAATTCAGATGGAATTTGTTCAGCAGGAGTGGGCAACGTTTGTCCAGTAGTCACTATTATATGTCCTGAAGGGATTAATGTACAATTTGTATACTTGAGACATGAGGCGGGAATAATGTGCGGGTTGAGTGTGTGTGGAGGTATACTAGCACTTGTGGGTGGCGTATGCTATGCAACTACCATGGATGACAATGTCTGCTGTCACATGGTTTTTGAAAGCGTATTTTTTTCTGGCAGACTTTAAGAATGATCTATTTCCCCGATGAATTATGTGAGTATGGCATTGGCACTACAAACGCCTGTTTAAATATTGCAATCTATGAGTGTTTCTCATCCAGAACACGATCTTATTGGAAAACATATACTGCTGAATGCCGACGATTATTCCGTTGATCATACTCTTCAGTTCTATTGCCTTACCATTTCCCTCGTTTACTTGCCACCAAGTTATTGTTTAAAGAAAAATGGTTGCTGAATGAGCATCGCATTGAGCAATTCCGACGAATATTTGATGTTAACTGAAAGATGTATGGTCCTATATAACATTATGGTTAACTCTTAAATGTCTTGTGGTCACTCTGGATTATCATTATGGCCGCATAAATAGTGATGAAATCTCTCCAGACAAGCATCCACATTTCGATACTGGATTATCCTTTCTCCGTTCCTGAGATTGTTTTAATAGTAAAAGCAACTGGCATGTCGTTCTAGAACTGCAGCGAAACCAAAAGATGAGTCGAAATAGCTCAGCACAGCATTCTTATGGATTACCTCCTTCACACTGCCAAGGTATCATTCTTACTAAGACAGCGGGATGAAAACACCGGTTGTAAACATCAGGTTACAGAATGTTTTGAGTAACTTAGGAAAATACCGAGAAAATATGTTGCGGTAGATCACCATTACAAGGAATCTGGCAAACCAGTTTTCATCCTTGAAAGGGCGGACTTGTGTAACTGCTTCAATCTTCTTTGGTTTTGGTTTTACCTTCATCTTTTTACAGGATATGTCCAAAGAATAGGATTTAATCTCCACACGTTACAAGATTTTCAAATTGAGTTTGCAGTCTGTATCTGTTTGAAGGAACTCTTTGAGTGCTTTGGTCATTTTCCCTACCATCTTCTTTAAAACCCTACGCAACTATATCCTCAGAGATGGCAAGAACACTTTTGACATCTCCAAATTTCACAAATATGTCTCGCTGGAATTTATTTTGAGCACTCATTCCTCCCATTTTAAACTTATTAAAAATATATCTTCTGAATGTAACCATGGATTTCATCAGTTCTTTGATTATTTTTCTGTTGCCAATAGTCTGACCTGACAACCACATGAAAGAACCACTTTTTACCATGTATACTTCAGATGGCATCCTCGAATATGATCAAGAAATTGGATCGTATTGTAGATTTGTTCAAGGTTCTGGGAGCTAGATCTAGCTATCTGGTCAAAAACAAACGGGTTGACATTAAGGGTTGGCTTGGTTAGTGGAATTATGACGCTGTGACTCACAAGGGGATCAAACTCATTTGTCGTGTAAAACTAAAGGAAATCACTCTCATCAGCTAGTGAATAATATAGTGATTATCGTATTGAGATTTTGTGAATGGGTTTTTGGTGGGGTATTTTGATGCCGAAATATGTAGTTACCACTGTACTTCCAGTCAACTTAATCACGTACACATTGTAGGTGTAACAGTGCTGCTACTTCGTCTTTACCTATGCCAAAATCTCAGTCTATACAGCAATGTCCAGAACAAAATCAGACAGAAGATGCCTACCCAACTCCACAAAAACAAAATTAGAGTCAGTGTTCAACATCACCTACACCATTGCTAGTAGTCTACGAACGAATTTCCAGAAGTTGAACTTTATGTTCACGGTGTCAAATCTGGTCTTAGCCTATCTATCTTAGTGCAGGAATTAACAACTCAGGGCTTCTCATCCATAATAATAAAACAATTTACTCATAATCGCCACCGTCATTAACTCGGTGCCTATATTTAGCTTTGATTCACATGTGGTACAGACCGCAAAACTTGGGCCCTGATTTTCCAGTTTGCTTTTCTTTTCTTTAAGATAGATACCTAATAATTATAGGTACCTCACACATTTATGAAATGTTATCTTTTTAATGTGTTATTTTTTATATTTAATTGTTATAATATGGCAGTTATGAAAATGTGAAATGTTTGTATTAATTATTACATTTTTGTTTTAATTATTAGATATTTTATTTTATTATAGTCCACTAATAATAGAAGTGTTAAAAAACGCTATGCAGTTGATTGCAGAATTCGGGAAAATTTGGTGGACCTTTAAAATGCTGTTATGCTATCAGGGAAACAACTCTTAGAATACGTGACATTGTATGAAGCATGTCTATCCATATATTTGGAAAAACGTTTTATGCAGACTCAAAAACAGTGTAAAATTCTTTTTTAAAAAATACATGTGTGTTGCAGATTGTAATAAGCTTTCAAATTTATGATCTGTAAAGATAGATCTACTTCATAACAGAATTTTCCTCTAAAGGGCAAAAGGATTGAAACTCAATTTTACAACATTAAGAAACTTTACCATATTTTGTATTTAAAATTCAAAAAAAAATTCACTTTTCATCGGAAAAAAATTTTCATTTGAAAAATATTTTCATTTGAAAAATATTTTTTTATTAAACTCGAATAATAATTTGATTTATGTCATAATTTCCAAATCTAGGTGTTTTTACATGAAAAAAGGTGCTATGTAAAATATTTCTTAGACCGCTGATGTAAAAATTTTTAAAACTAAAATTTCGAACGTGTTAGGTGGAAAAAAATTAATAAAATAATCAAATATACTTTTGCCCTTTCCTCTTAATAATAACACACATTTTGACGATAAATCTTTGTTTTTATTAAGTTTGAGACTTTTTGATCAAGCTATGCCGTTTTTTCAGCGAATTAGGGGTGATTACGTTAACCATGTCGCTTTGACGTCGTGTAATGGTTAGCAAACTTTTTTTGATAGATAATTTACGATCTTCACTTTCAGCCTTGTGTCACATCAAAGCTACGCTTAATAAATATCTACAGATATTTTAGAACTGTCTTACAAACCTAAAACACTATTTACATTATTCAGACTCTTGTCCTCATCTTTGTCGCCATGTTTATCAGAACGTTTCGGTCGGTTGGAATGTCGAACTTAACCCTTTATTTCGCTCACTGGGGTAGACTGTTCTAGTTCCACGTAACATGTGTAATGGATGTCTGTTATCTCCTGTTAATTCTCCACTGCCATAACCAGGTATTGAACTCACACTCTTTAGGTCCTGTCACTGCAATCTAACTAACGCCTTTATCCACTGTGCCATGTGTCCTTGAGGAAATCCGTTTATGAATTTCTGGTTATTATAAACCTAATGTCTTCAGCAACCAATTTTACCAGTGCTCATATTGCAATAATGTAAATAGTGTACATAATACCTCATCTCAGAAATATAGACAGAAACATACAACAATGGCACATGAGAATATCATAAAAACTCTAGTTGTAGTTGGAGTCTTCGCATTGATTGGAAAAGATTCCAGTAGACAAATTAAAGGGATTCCTGGAAGCCCATGTCTTAAAGAAATACAAAACATTTTCTCACAAGTACAGCCCACACCTTACGAAGGGCTTTATCTATGTAACTTCCGCATATAGAAGAAAATATTAAAAACAAACCGCCATCAGTAGAAGGTGAAAATGCTACAGTGCTATGGGACAATATACAGGCCGACCAAACTTCACAAGCTAAATAATAATGAAAGACTTCCAAAAAATCATTACTTTCTAAAAACATTCCGTCTGATAAACAGTTTCAGCAATGGAATTTGAAAACATATCAAAATATAAGGAATATCTCTATGGCATTTAAAAACAACCACTATTCCAGTAATAATAGGGGTACTAGGAATAATTAAAAACGAAATCTCGTACCTTCATTATTTGAGATACAACAATTTGTTCTCATTAGCATCGTTCTTACGCTCAAAAAATCACTGTCAGTGTAATATTTCAATAACTTTACAAGTAAAAATGTTTTACCGCTGAAACATCTTTCCCTTAAAGCAAATAAAATCAAAATATTTGAAATGTAAAATAATTATGGAATTAATTAATCTGGGATTTCTGGTAATCAAATCTGCCAAGTCGCATGTAATAATAACATTGTGTTAAATAATACTTTAGCAGACTATGATTTTTACAGAAGAGTATTTCTGCACTGACTTCCTCAGTTTGACGCTTGAGGTCAGATAGAGGACAAAACAAAAGAAGCCGATTTTTAATGGATAAACGAACGTGGCAATGATAGAGATATAGGAAGAGATTTCTGAGAGTCGATTCTTTTTTTTTTTTTTTTAAGGTAATTCACCAAAAGCGGGAGTGCCACCAGCACGCAAGGGCTTACAGATGGTTGAGAGCAAGATTAAAGAACCGTGTTTGAGGAAAGGATACAGAGAAGGATGGGGAACAAGCTCAGGGTGTTAGATATCGATTGACATTATACTTGAATATTTGAAGATCATAGTCATCAGGGAAACAAGTAAGGGGAAGGGAGTTCCAAAAACGGGAAGTGCAGGAGAAGAAGCTGTTTGAGAATAGACAGTTACATTTAACCGTTTTGAGAGTGAAAGGGTGTGACCGAGATGCCAGCCTGGTAGCTCGCTTAAATTCATGCAGTCCGAGAACAAGCGAAAGTAGCTCGTTGAAACAGTTGCCGTGAAAATGTTTGTAGAAGAGACAGAGTGAGGCCACGGCACGTCTGTAGGATAGCGATTGTAGAGTAGATGCAAGATCAGGACCTATCATCTTGCATATTCCTCTCTGGATTTTGTCAAGGACCTCGAGCCGTACAGCGCGAGCACCAGACCATATTTGACAGCAATATTTTATGCAAGGACGGATGGTTGATTCATAGATTTGAAGGATGGACTTAGACAAGAAAAACTTTCTGGCATGACACAGAGAGCCAACTTTCCTTGCGGTAGATGAAGCTATTGATTCAATGTATTTGTTCCACCTCATGTCAGTGGACAGCGTGAGACCAAGCAGGCGTAATGAGGTGCTCTCAAGGAGTTGGGAATCAGCCATTCTGATGAGAGGCATATTGCTTGTCGGAGAGCAGATTACGTGAAGTAAGGTGCTTAACCACATAGGCGTTGATTAAAACCTTGAAGACTTTACCGAAGAGTGATAGGAGACTGGTAAGACGTTAGTTAGACGGATCAGAAGAGTCACCAGAGTTCTTAAACACAGGAACAACAGATGAGAACTTCCAACAGGAAGAATGAGTCGGTGAGTCAGTATTTATAAAGTTTAGAGAGGACAGGAGCCAACTCAGGAGTATATTTCTTAAGGTATCCGTCCCCACCACTAGTCTTATGAGAGTCTAATTTAGAGATCGTTGGGGTTATGTGCATCTCACTCAGTGGGGCCTCAGTTCTAAGAGGAAAGTCCAATGTGGGTAAACCAGATGAGTCTAGCATTGAATTGGCTGAGAACTTACGAGCAAAGCATTCAGCCTCATCAGCTGAGGAGGTCAGGACCTCAGATTGGTTGAATAAAGTGGGTATTGAGTGTTTGCTCTTGTTCAGCACGCTTTTGCAGGGCCGCCAATAATCTTTTGAACCAAATTTACGAGATGAAGTATATTGATTCATTCCTTCGGCAAAGAGTAGCTTTGCTTCATTGAGTACACGCTTGCACTCATTACAAGCAGTAACAAAGAAGCATCTGTTGTAATCAGACAGTTCAGTTACAGAGTGTTTAAGCCATTTGGTATGGTGGGCACTGAAGTCATCAAACACAAATATGTTTTCAGATGGATGTAGAGAGATAGCCTTGTCGATATTATCGGAATTGCAATCGAATACACCACAGTCTTCAGAGGATGTAGGAATGAAATTTGATAAATATGGTACACTAGTAATGTTAAATATATCTATGCTAATTAAACTTCATTA